TTGCTTTCAGCCTAACAGAGGTGTACTGGGAAGGTTTGGTATCTTTAAAAAAACAACAACAACGTATTATTATTGCATTAGAATAATCCCACCATACATCAGTTTCAGGATGCGCTTTTACACTTGAGATATTATTCTTATATTTTAGCTATTTGATATTTGAGTAATTCTGTACAGAAGAAAGACCAAGTTAATGAGATAAGTAACTGATAGATGGTGTCTCTTGGCAGGTTTCAGAGTTCAGGTTAGAGGCTTAATTTTCATGTGGAAAGTACCTACATTTTGTTCTGATGGATTTATTAGTTTACACATGTTACTTAATTTAATTCTTACAATAACTGTGTAATAGCCATCTCCAACTTGGAGCAAGAAAAATGAAAACTTTTGACATTAAGCCCAACAGAGATTACTAGATCCTTGGTTACTTCAAGAAAGTTTTATTTCAGTCTTTTCCATAGCACATGCAATCTCTATGCCAACTTTATGTACATGTGTTTATTCTGATGGGAACTATAGTTTATGCCACTGCTTTTTAGTCACAATTTTATCTAAAAAATTAATGCAACTAGCATGTTTCAGTCAGGGACAATAGGTCCATGTGTATCTATGTGGTGCATGTACTTCTAAGTATTTATGGAGTGTAAGAGTATAATAGCAGCTCTATATAATAAAAGTCATTGTGTGTTTTTAGCCTTTCTTAGATTTCATTCTTGTACAAACGAGCTCTGTGAAATTATTATAGCCAAAATACCAGTGTTTTTCACTCAGTTTATCTGCACTTCATAAAAATGCTTAAATGTTATTTCATCATCCTTCAAGTTGCTTTTCAGTGTGTGAAATCTGTGAACTAATTCTTGAATATTTATGAAGTAATTCTGATTTTTGCAGGTGTTGCAAGCCATTAGGAATATTTAGCTTAATTTGGAACAGGATTCTCTATTTTTCGCTTGATTTTTCATTTTTGAAAAACAAGTTACAGTAAATCCATCTATGTATAATCCTTTTGTGGCTTTCTATAGTAGTTTGGTTAGGGATAAGAGTTATAGTTCACAATATCCTGATTGAAATGCTAAGAGAATTGTTTTACAGATAATGTATATCATTATGTATCTGTTATGTGTCCCCTCAGTAAGATTCTACTTTATAGAATGTTTGAGTAGGATCAGCAGTCACAGTGAATAAAAAAAGAACTAATAAAGAATACCCTTTCCTGACTTTGTTGTTGCTGTTTTTGAGGGAAGTTATTTTATAGTGCCTCTTTATTTGCATGAGAGTTGTCTATTTCTAAAAGAACCAGTAAGATTAATAAGATCATACTTTAAAATACTTTGTAGTATGTCCATGGTGTTATGGTTGTGGTGATATGCTGCCAGTTGGTAGTTGAACAAGATAGAGTTTAAATCTTTTATGCTGACATAATGTTGGTCTTAGGTGGTTTAAATTTCTCCTTCAGCAGATTTGTGCCTATAAAATTATTTGCCTTAGAATGAGTAGAGCAGACATCTGGCTGATAATGACCTTGTGGGATGTTATCAGACCTTGTTTCTCAAAGTAGGGTCCATGGAGCAGTAGCATCAGCATCACTCGGAGGCTTTTAGATGTACAGTCGTGACTGACTCTAGATTACTCCATCATAATCTGCATTTAAACAGATTCTCCAGTTGATTTGTATGCACATTAAAGTTTGAGAAGCCCTCCTGTAGATGACATAAGACTTGGCATCTGAACAAGAAACAATCTCTGTCTGAGGTTACAAGGATATAAAGATTTAGGAATTATTTCTTAGAAAAATGAAACAAATGTTCATCTTAAAAATACATTTGGCTTTAGGATTATCTCTCTTTTCTGGAATAAAGTGTGTCCAATGAATTTCTTTACTTTGATAATTCCATCTTATCTACCAAAGAAGACAGACTCCACTTAGTCTATACCAAATGAGTAAACCTGATTATTGTTAATCTTCCCTAAGATAGTGTCATTCTCTGGCCTTGTATGAAATTGAATCTTGAGAAAAGGAGATGGAAGACTGATGTTAGAATGGCAGGGCATATATCGTCACTTACTGGGCTTGCTTTTGTTACACCAGGGATACAGATGTGCTTTATTTACTCCAAATTTATTTATTTATTTATTATTTTTTGCTGTACGCGGGCCTCTCACTGCTGTGGCCTCTCCCGCTGTGGAGCACAGGCTCCGGACGCGCAGGCCCAGCGGCCATGGCTCACGGGCCTAGCTGCTCCGTGGCATGTGGGATCTTCCCGGACCGGGACACGAACCCGTGTCCCCTGGCATCGGCAGGTGGAGTCTCAACCACTGCGCCACCAGGGAAGCCCACTCCAAATTTATTTTATTTTTATTTTTTAAATTTTTATTGGAGTATAGTTGCTTTACAATGCTGTGTTAGTTTCTGCTGTACAGTAAAGCGAATCAGTTATATGTATACATATATACACTCTTTCTTAGATTTCCTTCTCATTTAGGTCACCACAGATCATTGAGTAGAGTTCCCTGTGCTAAACAGTAGGTTCCCATTAGTTATCTACTTTATGCATAGTGGTGTATACGTGTCAATTCCAATCTCCCAATTTGTCCCACCCCTTCTTCCCCCCTTGATAACCGTAAGTTTGTTGTCTACATCTGTGACTATTTCTGCTTTGCTGATAAGTTCATCTGTACCATTTTTTTAGATTCCACATATAAGCGATAATATACGATATTTGTTTTACTCTTTCTGACTTACTTCACTCTGTATGACAGTCTCTAGGTCTCTCCATGTCTCTGCAAATGACACTATTTCGTTTCTTTTTATGGCTGAGTAATATTCTATTGTATATATGTACCACATCTTCTTTATCCATTTCTCTGTCGATGGACATTTAGAAGATGTACCACATCTTTATCCATTCCTCTGTCGATGGACTGACTATCGTAAATAGTGCTGCAGTGAATATCGGGGTGCATGCATCCTTTCAAATTCTGGTTTTCTCCAGCTATATGCCTAGGAGTGGGATTGCTGAGTCATATGGTAGCTCTATTTTTAGGTTTATAAGGAACCTCCATACTGTTCTCCATAGTGACTGTACCAATTTACATTCCCACCAACAGTGTAGGAGGGTTCCCTTTTCTCCACACCCTCTCCAGCATATATTGTTTGAAGATTTTTTGATGATGGCCATTCTGACCGATGTGAGGTGATACCTCATTGTAGTTTTGATTCTCATTTCTCTAGTAATTAGTGATGTTGAGTATCTTCTCATGTGCTTTTTGGCCATCTGTATGTGTTCTTTGGAGAAATGCCTATTTAGATCTTTTGATTGGGTTATTTGTTTTTTTGATATTGAGCTGCATGAGCTGTTTGTATATTTTGGAGATTATCCCTTGTTGGTTGCTTTGTTTGCAAATATTTTCTCCCATTCTGAGGGTTGTCTTAAAGAATAAGGATGTCCTGAATGTCTGCTGTTTGCAGAATGAAACAGTGGATCAGACCTTTCCTCAGAGGTTTACAGTCAGGTTAGGAAATTATCCTTAAAAGTCAGACAACCTACCACCAGAAGAACTGTGATATTCTGGGATATGGCCATGTTGATCCACTGGCTGGTCTTCCCCAGCTGCTGTTAAAAGGGAGAGTAGGGACACAGCACTCATTTCAGTCAGTTACACCTGTTGTATCAAAGTAAGTACTGTCATAGTGGAACAGCATATTTAAGGGGAGTTAGAATTTAGAGAAATAACCAAAGAAATGCAAACATCTAGATATACCTTCTCCTAATAGACTTAATATAATATTCATTGTGGCATGCTCTGCCTCTTCTAGTTTCCTTTAAGGAAAAATCTTTTGTTTGCATTCTGCTTCCAATATTTCAAAACTCCCTTCAATGTTTTTCAGCTTCTGAGGCAGCCTTGGGATCCCATTGACTTTTCTGGGGCTAGCCTTAATGTGGTATTTCAAAAACCACTCCGGCAGGTACCTCCTCAGCACAAATGATGTCTTGCTCAGTAAGTAGTATGAGCATAAACCACACAGGAGGGAGAGCTGGTCTCATTGAACATGGGCTTCTGCCTGACTCTTTCATACAGACTTGAGTGCTAGGGTGAGGGTAGGGGTCTCAGGTTCTGGGGCACCAGTGCCCTAGTGTAAGAGTACCACCATGACCGCTATGAGCCTAAAGACCTGTAGTAGCCCTCCTTTTTAATACATAAAAAAGATAATTTTTCATGAAACTTTGTTCCCACTTCCTTTACTTTTGATTTTTATCCAGCAGTGTAAAGTTTGTCTGCCTTGCACAGGTGAACCAGAAATCTTTGAGGTAGGAGACAGCTGCTTGTGGTCACTACATGTGAAATGCCTTAATAAGCATGTGGCACCTGGAATAAGACACAGAAACACAAAGATGCCTCCCAAGAATGTGCAGTTTTCTGCCATATGATTGGCAACCATGTTATTAATATAGCAGAGAAGGGAGCTTGCCATTTTCTCACAAGGAAGGAATTATAAAAGAAAATTGTAGCATGGTCTACACCAAGACTAGAAATGTCACTCTCTTCATTTATTGTGCTGAATATATTACTTTTAGAAATTTGTATATAATATTTAAAAAATACTAATAAGGACATTTATTAGTTCACTTACATCATAGATCTTTTCCTCTATAAATTCTCAATCGTGAACTTAATTCTTGAGATTAAGGAGACACGGCGATATACTGTAATTTATATTAAATTGTTTTTTTCTTCCTCCCTTAGAAAGGCACATTAGGCTTTTTATTAGAGAAAAGCAACCAGACACCCTTGGTTCAGGATCTTACAGTGGAAAATAAGTTTTGACTTGAACCGGATTAAGTGGCAACTTGATAATAAATAATTTCAGGAGATTGCTGAATGTTCCAGTTAAGGATTAGCTCAGATTTTGTTATGTCATGATTGTCCTGACAAGTGCTGTGTGGTCCCATCATTGTCACACGCTGTGCTTAGCGAACGCTCTGGCCACTTTTGCTCTGCAGGAGAATGACTCAGGCACTTTGGACACGGTGGGCGCTGTGGTCGTGGACCATGAAGGGAACGTGGCTGCCGCCGTCTCCAGTGGAGGCTTGGCCTTGAAACATCCAGGGAGAGTGGGGCAGGTAAGTGATTCTGGGGTTTTTAAACTAGTTTTCCAAGTCGGAACATGGAATTTTCTAGCCCACAAGTTTTTGAACCAGTAGAGATATTTTTTTTTTCTTTAGAAAAAACAAATGATTATTGTTCTTAGCACTTATGTAGTATAAATCATCAAATACCTGTTCAGGATTCTTTCTAAAATTAAAACCTATCTCACAGTAATAGGGTTCTTCCTGATCTTTATAATTGGTAATCCTATGTTTGGCTACTTTCAGCAGGCTAGCTACTGGCCTGGGCATTTATCAGACATTTAATAAACGTGCATCCATTTCCATTTTCTTTCTTTGTAAATGTCATTCTCTTTAGGATCCAGCACCTGACTATATGGCTGCTTGCTTTCCAGGTGGAAAAACAGTTTTAGAGTTACATTTTGTATTTCCTCCATTCAAGGAACAGTAACATTTTGACCCTCTAATCCCTCCTCTGATTAGGCATTTCAGCTATTTTATAGACTGACTAGTAGTCCAAGTCACCAACACATGATACCACTTGAGAAATTGAGATAGAAGGGTCTAATTTATGTGCAACTGGCTTATTCCCTGTTCACTTGTACATCTTCTTCACCCCTGACTCCCCATCTCCATCCAGCCTTTAGTACCCAACTGAGAATGAAATTTAACAATCCATTTGATCTAATAACCTTTCTGGGAATAAACCAATTTGGCACATTACTTACAGCCTTAATAAATATTTGTTGAGTGAACAAATGAATTGGACACCCTCACAGAATCTGTTAAAGTTGTTGCACAGGGTGTGCTTAAGCTCAGTGCTTGGATCTCGTGTTGCATCTGTAGCACCTCTTGGCATGCTCTGTATGCTTTGTCTCCCATGTTTGAAGAAGAGTCAGTGTCACAGTTGCTTTGGACACGGTGGTGAGCTAGTGCTTGGAGCAGAGTGATCTGCTTCGTGGAGGACGTCTTTGCAAAGCCCCAAGTGATGTCCCCTGATCTGCCCTTTATTGTGGACAAGCCACTCACAGTCCTATGGTGGGAAGGGGAAGGGAAGAATAATTAATTTTGTGCTACTCTTTGCCTACCATACAAGGGGATTTATGAGGAATGATTACTCAACATGTGGAAATGCTTTGAACTCAATATAAAAAGCCTTTGTCTGGTCATGGTATTTTTCCACATTATAAAGCCCTGTGTATTTATCAAGTTTGGAATAAGAAAACCAAGCTCGGCATATCAGATCTGGATGCCTCGGTGGAGAAAGAGAGAGAAAAGCCAGCAGAGGCGCCTTCATTGCATTGCAATTCCCATGACTTTCTTACTGGTTTTTGTTTGTTTTCGTTAGCAAAATAGCAACAACAGAACCAAGGATAGTGCTGGACTACGTTAGCAGGGTATTACACCGAACCCTGCACGTGGGGTTGCCCTGGAAAAAGAAATACTGTAAAACTTAACATGTACACATTTGAAAGTTGCTAAGAGAGTAGGTCTTAAAAGTTCTCACTACAAGAAAAACAATTCTGTAACTGTGTATGATGACGAATGTTAATTAGACTAATTGTGGTGATCATTTTGCAATATATACAAATATTTAATGATTATTATTATTATTATGATTTTTTTTTTTTTTTGCGGTCCGCGGGCCTCTCACTGTTGTGCCCTCTCCTGTTGCGGAGCACAGGCTCCGGACGTGCAGGCTCAGCGACCATGGCTTACGGGCCCAGCCGCTCTGCAGCATGTGGGATCTTCCCGGACCGGGGCACGAACCCGTGTCCCCTGCATTGGCAGGCGGACTCTCAACCACTGCGCCACCAAGGAAGCCTTGAATGATTATTTTGTACACCTGAAGCTAATATAATGCATGTCAATTGTACCTCAATTAAAAAAAAAACCTTGCATATTTATTTGCCCCACTTGTCTAGTTTATGAATGCATAGTTTGTGAGAGCTGATAAATCAGGAAAGGGTGTGGAGGAGTAAAGAAAGGTGCTTACAGGAAAACACAGTTGCTTAATCGTGTTATATTGCTCAGATAGAGGAGAAGCAATAAGCCTAGAAATATGCAAGCATCAGATGGGAGGTAAAGAGCCGTTCTTCTTGAGGATCAGGACAGAATGAAACAAAATACTCAAGCAAACTATTTAAAGAAGCAAAGATTAATTATTTTTTAAAAATGTGCTGAAACTAGCTATTCTTATATACATTTTAAATGCACAAGTAACTCTTTAAAAATTTTAGCATATTACCCGTATTACCCAGCTGCTGAAGTGGCAATTTGAATTAGAACTTGTTTGCTTCCTCAGCTTATCGTAATGGTTAGAACTTACAAACGGAACACGAGAGAGAAATTATTGTCATTATGTTCTACTCTCCCCAACCCTCACCCTACCCACACACAAACAGGCAGTTGAGTTAAGGGGCTAAGAGTGTGGATTTGGGATTTAGGTAAAACTTTATTCTAACCACCCCGCCCCCCTTACCAGTCCCCTCCCCATGGACAAGTTACTCAACGCCGTTAAGTTCTACTTTCCACAACTATAAAATGGGGATAAATAGCTACCTTACAAAGTTCTAGAAGGTTAAATGACATAATTCATTTCAGTTGCTTATCATAGTGCCTCCTAATAACAGCTGCAGCCTGCTGTTTATTAATCACTGGCTCTGTGCAGCAAGTGTGCCTACAAGACTGTGAGGTGGGTGTTTTTATTACCGTCATTTTATAAAAGAGGAAACGAAGACCCAGAGAAGATTAAATTATAATAATATCATCATTTGTATGACCTACTTTTACTGCATGATAATAGCTTTGATAAAATTTTACTACTAAAAAGAAGGAAGCCTTTTGCTGTTGCCCTTGTTTTTAAAGATCTGCTTAAGGTTGTTATGTTTTATCCAAAGGAGTGGATAAGAGACAGACAGTCTCTGATTCTTTCTTTTATCTTAGCCAACACTGTCTCAGCCCAACCAATTTCAGAAGGTTAAGAAGGAAGACAACTTTAGGTCATGAAATATAGGAGAGATAGCATAGAGAGGAGAAACAAGAGTAAAACAAACTTCTTTTCATGGCCTCCACTGGGCTTCTCAGGGATGTCCTCTTGGCCATATTTACTATTTTTTAGGTGCAGACTCCTGGTCAAGATAATTGTGGGAAATGGAAAGGGCAATGGGCTAAGATCCAGGGTTTCCAGTGAAGGAAGAATGGGCCCTTCCACCGAGGTCACATGCTCTCTGAGGCTTCGGCTGACCCAACACCCAGCCTAGGTACTACCAGTGGAATGGCTTATCCCACAAGTTTGCCATTTTATTCTGAAATCCATATGTTGAATTAATTCCGTAGAGCTTTTAGTTGCCACTCTCACCCAGCTGTCTTGTGTGTTTTAGAAGCATGGTGTTTTCAATATGTCTGCCATATCAGGGGTGTTGTGTTCAGTTCTTGGTTCTACTTTTAAGAGGGGTATTGTCATTGACAGTGGGGGATGGCAACTGTGGATCACATGAACATGGTCAGACTTCACCTCCAATTATCCTGGACTCTGGATCATTTCTCAAGGAGGGTCATTAGGGAAGTGGGGTGGGTGTGTGCATCTCAATGTCTTGGGGAGCAGTTCACAAATTCTTTGAGAGAGAAAAGAGAATCAGGGCATTAGAATAGATGTTTTCAAAAGTTTGGAGAACTTTAGGGGAAGGTTAAAGTATTTCCAGAGAGTAGACCTAGGATTGGTGGGTGGAAGTTAAGGAAGAACTTTCCACCAATGGAAAGTGTCCAGAAGGGGTATATGTTCCCACATGAGGTGGTAAGGTTCTCAGTATCAGAAGTGCCTGGAATATTTCACGAAAATCCTTGTTCTGGGTAGAATATTAGAGCAAATTAGTTCTGAAGTCCTTGTAAAAAAGAATAAAATATCATAGAAAGCTGAAGTCTGTCTGGTCACCATTCTCAGTCTAAGCTTCTTCTTCCAGTCCTCACAAGTGAGTTTCTAGAATATAACAGCACTATTTTATGGGAGTATCTTTTGCCTTTATCAATCACAGAGAATACTGAATGTCTTGTAGTTTGCTGTTTGTTTTTTTTTTAACTCAATAGGTTTCAGAGTTTCTTCTGTAATAGTTCTTAAAAATCTTTTTAAGAAACTTAATCCTTTTTTCTAATGTTTGAAACAAATTCCACATATTGCTATGCCAATGTTTATTTAGCCATTTCTGTACTGATTGAATGTATGTTGTTTTCAGTATTTCATTCTTATCAAACAGGTGATAATGAATATTCTTGACCATGCCTCCTTGTATTTCTCTGTAATAGCTACCTAAGGGTTTTTCTAATTCTGCTTCTAAGGAATGGAACAGTTATCAATTGTGATTCCCCTTCCAAAGGCAGAGAAAATCATTGTGAATATTGAAGAGGTGAATCCAGACATTCTGGGTGGCACTGTTGGAAACAAAATAGGAATGATTGTCACACACTTTTATAAAACCACAGCAGCTTATTGTGTTCCTGGTGGTTTCAGACATATAAATTTATTCCACCACCTCACAAAGCAATTAGCTTGAACAGGCCTTTCTGTCTCCTTTCTTTCTATCTGGCAGAATCTAGCACAGTGGTGAGCAGATACTGGGCCCTTCGGTGTATACCTGTTTGCAGTTCCTGTTGTGCCATCCCGAAGGAGGCAGGGAAAAGGCAATAAAACCTAAAGCAGCGTTTGCTAGAGCGTGGCAGGAGGACCACCCGCGTTCTGGGCTCCTAGGCCTGGGTTAATGATGCTGATCCCTGGGCCAACCTCCAGACCATCAGGATATCTGGGAACCAAGGTTCCTATCATCATGCTCCCCAAGAAATCTGACTCACACCTAGTTTGACAAGTGTTATTTTAAGGCAACCACAGTGATTTCAAGGAGCCAGAAGAGCAACACCTGGCAAACTACAATAGAGGGAAGATTTTTCAGGGAAGGAAAAAATTGCTGTTGATGAGACTAAGAAACTTTCTTTTGCTATTTTCTGAAAAATTTTAGATTAGTACATAGCTGAAAATATAGTTTTGTTAATGTTAGAACCATTGTTTGGGTAGGTCTTACACAACCTCTGGTTATCGCTCATTTGCTATACATCATTATTAGATGAGACTTTATTAGATGGGTATGATTTCTGTCTTCTGGTGAAAGCTAGTAATTACATATAATAATCTTAAAATATTGTATTTGTCTATTTTTCCTCCCAGGCTGCTCTTTATGGATGTGGCTGCTGGGCTGAAAATACTGGAGCTCATAATCCCTACTCCACAGCTGTGAGTACCTCAGGTATTTGCTGCTTTCATGACCATTTTTCATAACTTCAACCTTGTAGGTCATTTAATGATTGAAAACCATATTTTTATGTAAACACAAAGCATGTGCTAAGACGTCACATGGATAAGAACATTGATGCCTGAAAAATCTTTGATATTTGGGAGCTTTTGAGAATTGTTTCATAACGTAAGTATCACAGTATAGAGTATAAAGGCTTTGCTAACATTTTCAATACAACTTTGGAGTTAACTAAAATTTAATTGTATTTTTAATGGATTTTTTTTTCTCTAATGACTTATGATAGTACCAAATTCAGGTCAAAATGATATAAAAGTAGCAAGGCATTTCAGAAGCTAAGAGGTCATTTCTTGAGTAAAATGTTGACATAAAACTTACAAGGTGTATTGCAAACTGTGTAGTTTATGGCATCTACACTTTTGATAAAATGTAGGTCCTTTTTTTGTATTTGTATTAGAAGAGTCATTTTCATTTAGAAGTAAGTGTGTGTGTGTGTGTGTGTGCGCGTGCGTGAGAGAGAGAGAGTGAGTGTATGTTTGGGGGGAGTGGATTTTTTTAAAAATTTTTATTGGAGTATAGTTGATTTATAATGTTGTGTTCGTTTCAGGTGTACAGCAAAGTGAATCAGTTATATGTATACATATACCCACTCTTTTTTAAATCCTTTTCCCATATAGGCCATTACAGAGTAGTGAGTGGAGTTCCCTGTGCTATACAGTAGGTCCTCATTAGTTATCTATTTAATATATATTAGTGGGGAGTAGATTTTAATGGGCAGAATGGTTGTTGTCTAGACCCAGGTTTTCATATGCTTTTGCCAGACGTACTTGAAGCTCTTCACGTAGTTGATATGCATGGTTGACATAATAATATTGGTTCATCCCCTTTGCTGTGCTGTCTCTCAAGTTACAGTCCTAGGCCTTTCTCCCCGACGTCCTCAGGCCTTATCAGGAGGCTGGTAGACATGGCTGCCTTTCCTTCCTTTCTCTCTTCAGTTTCTTGCCATGTTGTTTTCTGTCCCACCACACTGACCACCCACCCAGTCCAAGAGCCCTCCTCTCCCGCTCACTCTTGCCTCTCTGTGGTCTCTGGCACAGGTCACTCTTTTCTTTCCATCTCCAGAATATATCCTGAACCTCTCTTGGTTTTTTCTGCTTCCCTGACCTGCTCCATTTTGTCCTTCGTCACACGGACTCTTCCCATTGCTAATGACCCCAGTGTGCGCCTCTGCCGGCTTTTCTTCATCTCACTGTGTGCTTCCTCTCGGTCATCTGGTATTATTGCTGTTGTTCTCATGATTTCAGCAGTTATCTTTTAACATATTGGCTTCCACGTCTATCTCTACTCTGGACTTTTCACTTGAAGTCCACCTGAGTTCTTTCTGCCTTCCTGTTGGATACATCCCTGTGGGTGTCATGTGTGCACATGAGATTCAGCAGCCCAGCTGAACACCTCGTTCCTTATTCCCACACCTTGGCCATCTTTCTCCTGTATTCTTTTTCTCTTTTACTGCCATCACTATTCTATTTGGTCAGACTTGAAATCTTGGTACCATTCTCATATTTGTAGCTTCTTTCCATTTCTACTGACCTGACCCTGTTATTTCAGACACCCCAGCTCCTGCCCGCCTGTTGTAGCAGCCTCCTGACTCAGATCCATTATTTGCATTGGTGGAAAAATTTGATTTTGAGCCACTCAGGTGAAGTCGAAACACAAATTAATGTTGAATCTAAACCATACTAATATAATAGACAAAAAATTGTTTTTCAGTCTCTCCATTTTGAAGAAATGAGCATAATGTAGTAATATGAGTTAATTTTTAATTTAATATTGCTGGCACATGAAAATCTTTACACATAATACTTAGGAATTAGCTTGTGCATAATGAAGTGTGGCCCATTTCTATGGAAAATTGTGGTATTTGAACAAACCAAAGTCTAAAATAGGTAATTCATTGTTCCGTTTTTATTTTCCTAAAGAAATATCAGTTGGTATCATGTGTTGTGTTGACTTTAATTTTGGTCAGTATGTGGTTCATGAGTTGGTTTGTTGCTATTTAAATGTTAGGAGACCTGAATTCTACTTGAAGCTGGAATCATGAGTGTCTGTCTCACTGTGTCACTTTGGAAAAGAAATTCAATCTCCTTGGGGTTGTCCACCTCCCTTTTTGAAATTTGGTGATGTGGAATAAGAGCACATAAATCTCTATAGATTTGATTCTGTGAAGTAGATGGCAGTGGGTGGGTAAAGTTAAAATTGTAAAATTAAGGTCTTTCTCCCTTCCCCTTGAATATTTCCTTCTTTGCCCATCTTGTATCCACTGAAGATAGTTTTTTATATGACTAAAGATAACTTTAGGTTTCCAGTTCATGATATCTAGTGTAGCTTTTTAACTTGGATGCCCAGCTCATCATGTTATATCCTTTTTAAGTTTAAGAACTAACCATCATCAGCCTACAGAACCTGAGGATAATAGAGCAAGTCTCCATTTGCTTCCATCTGTGGGACTTTGTGTGATTGCTTCGCCCTTGTTTCTGCTGGGGCTGTTGCTATGAGGTTGACAATGGAAACACATGGCAGAGTTGGGTGACCACGTCAGAAGAAAGGTGGAGCACAGAATTTTGAAACTGTTTGGTCAAAATAAAAAAGACATGTGCCTTAGGCTGCTGCAGAAAATCCAGAGACCTGGCCTACATTTTAGGTTTATAGTTCTTGGAAGGTGATAATTGAAAGACAGAGGGAAGATAGTTATGGTCAGGGTAGGGCTCTGCTAAGGCCAGACAGGCGATGTGATCTTTAGCCTGTGGGATAAACTCCAGCATGTTGTTCTCATCACGGCGGGGAGGAATGAGTGGAGAGTGGGGAAGAGCGTAGCGGGGCAGGAGCTGACCTCGCAAACTCTGACTAATGTTCCGGCATCTTGGAAATTTGCCGAGCTAGGGAGGTTCTTGTTCTGATTCTTCCACTCACTGGCTGAGACATCCTGGCAAGGAGTTATTTGTACCACAGGAATAGCATCTATCTTAATATTTATGAGGATTTAATGAGCTGATGTATGGATCTCTAGATATTACTCATCTTACACAACTGAAACCTTATGAATTTTGAATAGCCCCTCCCCATTTCTCCCTTTGCTAACTCCTGGCAGTCACCGTTACCCTCTGCTTCTACGAGTCTGACTGTTTTAGGTGCCTCATATAAGTGCAGTTGTGCAGTGTCTGTCCTTCTGTGACTGGCCTGTTTCACTGAGCGTAATGTCTTCTGGGTTCATCCATGTTGTCATATACGGTAGGATTTCCTTCCTTAAAAGGCCGAATAATATTCTGTTATATGGATATACCACATTTTCTTTTCTTGCTCATCTGTCAAGGACATTTAGGTTGTTTTCATATCTTGGCTATTGTAAATAATGATGCAATGAACATGGGAGTGCAGGTACCTCTTTGAGATCCTGATTTCACTTCTTTTTGATAAATACACAGAAGTGGAATTGCTGGATCATATGGTAGTTCCATTTTTGTTTTTTGAGGAACCTTCATACTGTTTTCCATAGTAACTGAACCATTTTACATTCCTACCACCTGTGTATGCAGGTTCAGATATCTCCATATCCTCACCAACATTTATCTCGTCTTTTTTTTTTTAAACATCTTTGTTGGAGTATAATTGCTTTACAATGGTGTGTTAGTTTCTGCTTTATAACACAGTGAATCAGCTATACATATACATATATCCCCATATCTCCTCCCTCTTCCGTCTCCCTCCCACCCTCCCTATCCCACCCCTCTAGGTGGTCACAGAGCACAGAGTTGATCTCCCTGTGCCATGTGTCTGCTTCCCACTAGCTATCTATTTTACATTTGGTAGCATATATTAGTCCATGCCACTCTCTCACTTTGTCCCAGCTTACCCTTCCCTCTCCCCGTGTCCTCAAATCCATTCTCTATGTCTGCGTATTTATTCCTGTCCTGCCCCTAGGTTTTTCATAACCATTTTTTTTTTTGGATTCCATATATATGTGTTAGCATACGGTATTTGTTTTTCTCTTTCTGACTTACTTCACTCTGTGTGACAGACTCTAGGTCCATCCACCTCACTACAAATAACTCAATTTCATTTCTTTTTATGGCTGAGTAATATTCCGTTGTATATTTGTGCCACATCTTCTTTATCTATTCATCTGTCGATGGACACTTAGGTTGCTTCCATGTCCTGGCTATTGTAAATAGAGCTGCAGTGAACATTGTGGTACATGACTCTTTTTGAATTATGGTTTTCACAGGGTATATGCCCATTAGTGGGATTGCTGGGTTGTATGGTAGTTCTATTTTTAGTTTGTTAAGGAACCTCCATATTGTTCTCCATAGTGACTATCTCTTGTCTTTTTGATAATAGCCATTTTGACAGATGTGTGGTGATATCTTGTGGTTTTAAGTTGCACTTCCCTAATGACTAAAGATGTTGAACACCTTTTTCATACACCTGTTGGCCGTTTGTATGTCTTCTTTGGAGAAATGTCTATTCAAGTCCTTTGCCCGTGTTCTAATATTGTTTTTTTGCTATTGAGTTGTAGGAGTTCCTTATCTATTATAGATATTAACCCCTTTTCAGAAGTATGGTTTATAAATATTTTCTCCCATTCCATAAGTGTCCTTTTCATTTTATTGCTTATTTCCTTTGCTATGTTGAAGCTCTTTAGCTTGATGTAGTCCCACTTGTCTATTTTTGCTTTTGTTGCCTGTACGTTTACTGTTAATATCCAAGAATAAAATATACCAATGTAAGACACATACACTAGAGGGAAAAAGAGACTGCCAGTTATATTATGACACACGGCTTTCTCATCACTTAACACATGGCTGTTGCTTTACAAGAAACTATAGAATTGGGGGTATTCTTCCAACGAGAAATATTTGCTTCCCTGGTAACAATGTCATGCCCTTTTGCTATTTCCATGCCTTCCTATGTATACAATCACCTTTGGTTTGAATCGT